AATACACGCGCCACTTCACTCATATTTTTATGATTACTATTATTTATGATTTTATTCTCTTCTTTTCACTGACAGTTATATATAAATAATAAAATAGACGACATATAAAAAAATATCAAGAGGTATTAACACCAACATTAGATAAAACACATGAATACTAAGATTAATATTAAAAAAGATATCAACGTCGTCTTTGTCCGGTTCCAGCCAACTTCAAATGTGGCAAGAAACCTGGTTCATTTACCGAAAATCATTTATACTCGTAGAAGGGTAAAAAGTAGAAAGGATGGCAAAAACCGACTTTAGTGAGTTTTGACAAAGCTATATCCGTCGCGAGCGCGCTGAACCATGAACGGGACAATTGCTAAAGTGTTGCCTGCACAGAACGCGTCGCCCGAGGAAACGGGAGTTTTTGGCGGAACGCCGCCGACCGTGTTAAACTTTTTGGCGGAACGCCGCCGACTGTGTTAAACCAGAATAAGCCTACTCATGTAGTTTACTCTGACATTGCCAGGGCTTTTGACCGTGTTCCTATTCCACTTCTTATAATTAAGTTGCGGTACGTTGGCCTACACCCGAGAGCTATAAACTGGATAAGATTCTTCTAGCAAAACCGTACGTACCAGGTCCGCAGCTTGATGTACGCTGATGATGTAACGATATACAAGGTAGTTGAGAGCTCAGAGGATAGTTATGCCCTCCAAGCTGCTATCAACTGTAGGAACTCTTGATCCATTAGGTGGGACCAGCCCCTATCCCACGACAAAACCACGGTCTTCTGCGTTGGAAAAATTAGTGATGCTGTAGCGATAAAATATAAACTAGGCTCACTGTGACTTCAGACCACGAGTCAAGTGCGCGACCTGGGCTTCAAGCTTGATAATAAGCATTCCATTGATAGTCATTATTCAGACATTGTGTCCAGAGAAACACACAGGATTTTTAATCTGTTCAGGGCAGTCCGCTCAAAGAACTCAAAGGCACTTATTAGGGCCTACAAAACATATCAGGCCGTTACTGGGATCAGGCACAACTGTCTTCGCACCTTCCAAGAAGAAGGATATACGCTTACTCGAGGGTATCCAAAATAGCTTCACACGGAAGCTTGCCATGGCTGCTCTGGTTTTTACTACGGACTTATTCCTAAAGGGCAGAAACGTCGTCGTTTATACTCGCTTCCCAGTCTGCATGCCCGTAGAAAGGTAAGCGAAAGTGTTATGGCATTTAAAATCCTGATTGGTAGAGCTGCCGTCAGTTCCGAATTTTTCTTTACGTGTACCTTTTCTAGAGCTAAGAGGCACGATGCTAAAATCAAGGTTCCGCTGGTGAAAACCCAAATCCGCCCCGAATTCTTTTCTGTAAGGGTAATAGCCTCTCTCAACAAACTTCTTACTCGTGACGCCATGCATTTCTCTCTGAATTCCTTCAAGTATGTTGCCAAAAAATTGGTGAACCTTGAGGATTCGTAGGCTTCTCTCATTTGATTTTCTCTCGTACTAGTTCACTACCTCATTTTTTTTATGTTCCCCCTCAATTTAGCCTTGCCTTGCTTGGTGACTGATTCTTTCTCCTGTTTTATTTGCACCACCAGTCGGATCGCCCGGCTAACGCCGAGCTCTCCTCCTTCTTGGAAGCCCCGCTTCGCCGGGCTCATGCAACTGCTTTAGAGTCTCACTTCTTAGCTCGTGAAAGAAAAAGTAGGGCATAAGCAGGGCGATACTACTGTCGTTAGGCATTTATGATGTCTTCATGGTGACTAACCGCTGTCTTCTAATCAGAAGAATGTAGAAACGCGCCATATAATCTAGTGCACTTTCATAAGAGGTTCAAAAATCTGGTCATGGATAATCGATTATCTCCCCATCTTATGACAGCCATGGATGCCTTCGGTCTCCGCAGTCGCTGCGTGCTCCTGTCCAGGCGCGTCGGTGGCGCCAATATTGGTACCCCTTCACCCCAAACTAACCTCAGCTATTCCCCGCTCAGCCACCCTACAGATCACGCTCATGGTCAGCTGCTACGCGAATAGACCCGTGCAATGGATCTGAGTGCACTAAATGGTATGTTATGTGAGGGTGTTATGACTATCAAAACGCTACCACAAAACGCTTGATAATGCAACATTAACGGGTCAGCTTCGATTGCGGTCGATCCATTTTCTTCTCATCTTATCGCAACCGTAGACGCCTTCACCACCGCAGGCGCTATGTGCTCCTAATCGCGAAATCGCCGTTCTCGTCTGGTATCCCCCTCACCACATCATATCCCATTGACCCTATTTAACTGGCCCCACTCCCGCACGTGGTATGCAGCCGCCACGTGAGCAGCTGGTGCAACATAGGGACACCACGGCGCCACTGTTCTTACCGCCGCCTTGCTCGTGCTCACGTCCAGCTCTGCAATAAGCACAGAGTCTATCACAGTGGTTGGCTTAGATAGGGGAGCGATTCACAATCCAAACAGCTTCCTAGTTCGTTGCTGTAACATGCATTAGCTGGAAGTTTTGGCTAGCGGTTCTTTTCCTTCTGTCTTGCCACCTGCTCCTATTCGAGTGTACGCTACGCATCCCCTTACTGTACCCAGTTGCCCGATCCAATCATATGCCCCTTCCCCCATGGGCTCAGATCCGACTGAGGCGCAAGGGAGGGAGGATGGAGAAGGGGGGCACTCGAATACTAACTCCCACCTTCCTCACCTCACCCCATTCACTCCACCCCTCTCCCCCCCCCTCCACCTTGCCCCTTGGCACGCGCTTACCTCCAACTGGCACGCGAGCAATTTAGTGGAGAGTGTTATCACAACCAAAACAACTTCTTAGTTCGTTACGGTAACATAAATTGCGTGCAGTTTTATTAGCGGTTGTTTCCTCAATCCATTGGTGTGCGTCTTCTACTGAAAACGCGAGCTGCGCACCCCTCACTGTCCCCCCCCCCCCCCTTCCCCGCGACCCCTTCCCTCTGCCTCCCTCCAATACATGCGCTCAGCTCCGGCTGAGCACATGCAGGAGAAGGAGGCAGGGTGTCCTGGCGCTCCCACCCTGCCCCCGCACGAGCACATGTCCAGCTGCCACGGTAGCAGCTCGTGCAATGGCTCGGAGTGTACCGAATGGTCGTCTTATATAGCGGAGGCTGTTATCACAAACAAAACATTGGGTTGATACATCCTTAGCAATCGGTTACCGGTTTGCCTAGCGGTCGTTTTCTCCTCCAGCGAACTCGAACCCATGAAGCATTTTGCGGACGGACAGACATACATACACATACATACATACTTACAAACCGACACACAAAGTTACTGCTTTATAGAATGTAAGGATTATGCCAATCGTTGTTGTGGTTTTTGTTTTCTCACGTGGGCTCATGCCTGCGTCAATAAAAAGAATAGAAATAGGATGTGGCCTTTGGGGTTTTCTTCCCAAAGCACGCTCAAGCAGCACTTACAGGCATCCAAACAAACCTGACACTGCGAATAGGAGATCTTTTTGGAGAAACTGATTGCGAGGGAGATCTGAGCGGAAGCGCTCTCTCTTGAGACGGGCCCCGTGGTTGATGGAACGACGATCTTGCAGACAGCAAGCTCTCGACTCTACAGAAACGAGCATGCGAATCTATAGCTCGACGGTCCGATATGACCCAAAATTCACAACGCGAACGCATGAAATTCATCAATTCTTATTTTAGGGTCACTGGGAAAGTTCAAGTTCCCAGTGACCCTAAAATAGTCTAAGTTTGGCCCCACTAGGTACATTCCTCCGCTTCACGTTTTCAATTTCTAATTTGCTCTCAAAAAAAAAGAACGCTTTCATTTACCCACTGCATCTGTAGTTACTGCAACTATTTGAACACTTTACTATAATCATCGAGGCGGAGGTAGTATGGCACAACTGGCACGCTCACCATACGCGCGCTCCGGCGGTGAAATCTCGGAGCGACTTTCGCTGAGGTCAACAAGGCCTTTTGTCCTCCGACGACGGTCAACTGATGCCAGATTCGTCTTGGAGGATGATAGCACTGACTTGCACACCAGCTGGCCCCGGAGATCATTTGACACCTCGGACAACTTCGCATTCAATGAACCACTACGATTCTGAATGAAAGTAGTATGCGCGCCGCATCCGAAAATGAGTATTTTTATCCTTTCACTTCACTGTAATCCCTGTGGCATACGGCACACATCTGAATCGCATTAAAGACCGCACTGAAAATCAAAAGTCACCACAATGACTTGTGGGTCCCGTGAAGTACAAGTCACTGTTTCCACCCCCCCCCCGCACCCCGGAACAAGTTTGATATTAACCACGTGACCCCAGATGCATGGAAAGCTTGATTGTAGTGGGAAGTAGAAGATCCGGGATTCTACACATGCATCGTAAGTGCGATGAACGGCGCCACCTTGCCGCAAAGCGCGCATAACCCGCGATAGAAATCGGGCCATAACTTTAGTTGCGCGACTCAACTGGAAGAAAAGGAATCGTGAACTAAAAAAACGTTACACTCCACATCCAGGAGATAAGTGGGCGTGGCTAGGCACGCAATTCGAACTTGATGTCCGATGCGTATTCCGTGAGATGATTCCATTTGAATTACTTTAATCCTGACTTTGTGTGGGACAAAACCGTGATTACGATTGTTCAAAAACGAAGATACCCCATCAGGAGCGCAACCCTCGTCGCCCAAGTGAACAACGCAGCCACGCCCTCACGGCACATCGCTGTTGGGGAATGCCCAATAGGGGAGTCGTATTTGGTCGCCAAAAGAGGGGTCGTATTTGGGCTGAGAAAAATTTATTTTGATAGTTGATTTTTCTCGCTTTATGGACGTTGTGAAGAGAGGGGGGGGGTCGTCTTTCATCATTTTTTGGGAGGGGGGGGGGTCGTATTTACGTTTTGGCGTTGTGGGAGTGGCGGTTGACTTTTGATGATTTTTTTCCTATTTCACGTACTATATGCCCCCCGCGCACGATCAAGCATAAATTTTTGGTAAAATTAGGGAAGTTTTCGGGAATATTGGAAAAAAGGATCTGATTATAGAGGGGGGGGGGGTCGTACTGTTTCGCAGCTTTTCTGTTTCACATGTGCCCCCCCCTAGACGGCTCGATTCGATGAGGAAGGACAGCGGGGGGGGGGGGGAGTCGTACCAACTCCCAAAAAGGAAGGGGGTGCGTATAGAGTCGACTAAAATCCCCAACCAATGATGCGCCCTGCACGCCCTCGCCTGTGGGATGTGGAGTGCGAGTTTATCTACACATCAAACAACGGACCTCATGCTCGCTCTATTTTCACACAATGGTTGTCGTTCGCAGTCAACATCCGGGTTCTGTAGCTCAGGGAAAGCAATCTTGACAAAAGGGATAACGGAGCGTGTGGACTGAAACGAGAAAAATAGTCAAATAAGAAAAACAAAACTCAAGATCAATGCTGATACCTGTACATTCTTCTGCATAAGTTCAGTGTAAGGTGTGAAGGTTTCTGGAGGATTCGCTCCAGCACCGTTCATGAATTCAGTGAAAAGTGAGTCGTACGACTCCAACTCTGTCATTTTAAGCCTCGAATGAGTAAGTTCCTGAAACTTAAAGTAGTTTTGACAGAAAAAGATACAAAGTAATGCTTGCCTTGACCTTTTCACGATCAGGAAACATTGCAGTTCCTACAAAACAATGTACTAGCGTCTACGAGTAAAACCGATCACCACCTCACGCATAGGTTCAATGAAGGGAATAAACTGAGCCCTCATATTTTATCGGAATGGTTTCCTTGATAATGAATCCACGAGATCCTTTCTATGATACACCGCTGAGTGAATTCTCTTGATGCACATTCTACGCCGATCGGCAACCCAGTGGGCACGATGGCTGAGAGGAGGCGGTGAGGAAGGAGGGGGGGGGGGCTTCTGCCAATGCCAATGGTGGCTTTGATGTAAGGGTCACAAGGGGACGTTTGGCCACCCCTCCCACTCAGTCCTTCCACCAATGGCATAGACAGTAGCCGCCCGCCTTCGGTCCTTGGGCCCACTGCCTCTGAGGGCGGAGACAGAGAACAATGGTAAGGCCCTTCACGGGGGCCCAGCTGAGACATCCAGTGCTCGCTACCAACCGCTACGTTGACTAAAAATCCTCTTATTAATGCGCATCTATCCGAACGGCCATTTGATTCGTCTTTACAGAGTGCGCAGCTCATATGACGTTCGGTTTGGCTGAACCACCACAAATGCTGAGGGCATTCAGTCGACGCAGCCTTCCGCTGGCCAGTCGTACCATGGAACAAATCTCCTCCTGTGAGGAGCTACTACGTACAATATATCGTGGCATTGTGAACGGTCTTCTTGGACTTTGCGCACCCCATTTCTGCGAGAACTCACAGTGTCGCAGTCATCGAGAAGTAGTCTGGCTCATAAAGGGCAGCCTTTGAAAGCTCTCATGAAGCCACTGCATCGTTCAAAACACTTCACTGCGAGCAGGGACAAGACCGTCTTGGCAAGTCTCCAAATGTCGTTGAAGTTCTCCCTTTCGGATGCAATGAATCCGAATGCATAAGACCAGATCTAGATGCAATAAATCCGAATTCGAACCCGCGTGCAGCTATGATCCCATCAACATTCTGTTTCACTCTATGTCATTTAAAGTACCCACCCCTTTGACACGCTCCATATCGTCGTCCACTTCAAAAGCAGTGGTCCTACGGTCTTCACCGAATTTCGCAAACATTTCGTCCTCCTCGTCAACGCCGTCGTCATCTACAAAACGAGGCTTTGAAAACGGCTTTCTGAAGGGTTTCAAAGTTACCGTGTGGAGAGTGAAGGCAAGGACTTCAGGGAAGAACGAAAAAAGGGAAATTTAACAACTTACCGCTGCTCTCGGCTTCGTACATTTCTGAAGATTGCTCGCCTACACTTGAATCGTTCGACAACTCCGAACAACGTTTCACAGGTGACTTGGATGACGACCTAAGGTAAAATTTGGAAGAGTATGCTAAAGAGAAGGCTGTATTGAAAAGCAACGCCACAGAAGAGTACCAAAATTCAAAGAACATTTGTAAATACTGAAGAATTTGAAAGTCTACCGGAGCGATAAGAGAGGTTCATAGCAAATGAATGGGTTTGCAATCTCTGGCAGGGTATTCCAGGGCGCTGGGGTGCTACTGATTTAGAGAGCTACAACCCTCTTTTTTTACTTGCACAGGGTGAATATCAGGTGCGAGAGATTTCTAGATGACTGACCCAAAGGAATTACAATCAAAAAAGAAAAGCCACATATGTATTGAACCCCTCTTGGCACACGCCACGCATTCTACTTCCATTCAGAATTGTAGTGGTCTCAGACATACTCTAGCCCATGGATTTAGCATACAAGCAGTGTTTTTTCAAATCCGAATGATACCAGTGGACTGAATACGGAGCGACGAAAGGCCTAGATGGCACAAGAAGAATGGATCCGGAATCCTATCTGCTAGCCGTAAGTCCTCGGTCATTCTTTGCGACTGAGCAGACTCGGCGATTTGGGAGGTTGCGCTGCAAGAAAAATGCCTGGATATCGATCTAGGGACTGCGGAGATTGAGCGTTCCGGCGATCGAGAGACTCAGCGTTCCCGTCAACTGTGAGTAATGCAAGAGGGACCCAGCGTATGGGCTGCAGGATGCGATTACACCATTTGCGCACCCTTTGGCTACCGTAATTCTTACGCCTACTCACGCCTACTTTTAAGTGTTTCACGAGTGTTTCTTGTTGAGGGCGCCGTCAGAAAGCAAGGTAAGACTCAGTTTTAGCATTAGCAGGTAACACCACATACAATTTCTGCAAATGGCCTTTCCCAGTTGAACAACTTATCGTACCTTCATTAATTCATACAAATAGTGATCCAGTGAGATCAGCAAAAGTAAGAATCCTGCGACTCGCCTAGCGGCACCAGTAGCCCAGAAAGTCTAACAAAATTGGTCTGCAAGAACATTTCCTATAGGGATTCCTCAATGTGTCGATCCTATCTGATGCTACAAGAACAACAAAGTATTTCCTTGCTTCTTCAGCCGCGCTCACAGCAACAAACACTCGCAAAACATTAAAAGTAGGCGTGAGGTACGTAAGGTTCACGGTCCAAAGAACGCGCAAGTGGTGTGATTGCATCCAGCAGCCCATGCGCCAGGTCCCTCTGGCATTACTCGTCAACTGTGCGCCGAAGAAGTGGATTGGTGTCGATCACCAGCGAACTACCAAGACGCCAGATCACCGAGTCTCCCAAATCGCCAGATCGCCGAACCTCCGCAATCTCTAGCGACCGGCGTCCGATCGATACCCATCCATTCATTTGGCGCACAATCGTCGGAAACGCTGAGCTTCTCAAGTCGCCAAATCTCCTCAGTCGCAAGGTATGGACGCGATGGCACCGTGCTTTGTATCAGAAAATAATTTATTTGACTGCACACAGTACGATCCGAAGCCTCTCTAGAACGTGCCTCTGACCCCTCCCGATCTTTTCCATTATGTATGCCCCGTGGCTCCCTACTGCTCACACTTTCATTTTGAACAAGATTTACATTTGACAGCAGAGTATGCATGTTAGCCTAATAAATAAATAGACGCAACGTACCAATGATTACTGGTGATTGATTACTTTGTGATATCGCTTTTCGCCCAAGCCAGAGAAAAACCCTATTTCTCTAAATCAGTACTCTGCTACTTGCATGGTGCAACGCGCTTGTTAGATAGAACATCAGTACAAATTTAATGAAAGATAAGGGCATCCCGTATTCCGAAAAGCAACGCGACAGACATAGCATTCCGTTCTTTTAACTGCTATTAGGCTGGAAAGAAAGTCCTGTCAGTGTTCCTTGGAAAGCTGATGGTTTTTGGTCCTTGATGCTCGGTCATGACGTAACATGCTGCTTGTAGAACATTCTAGAGGCTTTCCCTAAAGAGGTAAAGGTAATAAAAACATCTGGTCTTCCCTGGGTCAATTACAACGTCAGTTTCAGTCATTTACTTCATTGAACGGTGCCGTGGCACTGGAGCGACGCCTGCTGACCGCAACATCAACAGTGCATTGGAGGAGAACACCACTACCATCAGGACCGTCCACCTCTGGTTTGCTCGCTTCGCGTAAGGAGACACGATCTTTAAAGACAAACCGCGGTTGGGACTCCCCTACGGAGTGGGAGACTCCACCGTTCTCGAAGGATTCAACGGGGGATCCGGAGGCTACCACCCGCAGTCTCACGACAAGACTCGGGTGTTCCTAACTGACAGCTGTCAACCACCTGTAAGCCCTCGGCTATCGAAAATAGTGGCTCGATGGTTCTATCATACCTTGACGAGTGACAGACGACGCACCCGGATACTCATAGCTCAGTCTCCCCTTTTCCACCCTCGTCGAAAGGAGTTTCTGAGAGACTCGTCAACGGTGCTGATGGAAGGGTCCTTTGTGATTTTAAACCACAGAGTACCGTGTGTCTCTCTCAAGGAGCACACCCATCCAAACCGGACATGCATTCCGGCAAGAAAATACGGTCCCACGAAAAATGACCGAAATTAGCTTTGGGGCACCTCGACTGTGATGACGCGAGACCCCATACTGCTATGGAGAACTACCAAATATTTGGGGAGCAAGGCTGGAAGACCAGACCTCGCTCATCATATTCGTCTGACGTAGTCTCCTACGACTGCTACCAGCTCCGCCTCCTTGAGGCCTTCTTAGCTAAGAGAACTGTCAGCAACTTTGATGACTTGAGCCGAGAGACCGCCGACTTTCTCGACTCGCAGCCTCCTCAAATCTGGGAGAGAGGGAATGTTTACGTGCCTATTTGGTGAAGCATTGTAGTGGCTAACAATGGCCAGTATACTGCTGATTAATTTCCATTTTATGTTGAGTTAGAAAACAAAAAAGTCGCAATAGTGACAAGACTTTCTTTCCAACCTTTTTATTTGGCTCGGAGAACTTCTTGGTGTAGCAGTGGTAAAAGATTTCAGTGGTGAACAGGAAAGAACATTACTTTTTAGAATCCCTAAAAAATGAAACTGCACTTAACAAATAGCTAGAGTTAGCTCCAGGTTAACACGGTAAGAAACAGGAAAAAACACTAGTCATGTGCTTCATTGTCTCCACACTGATAACGACCAAAGGGACAGGAATTATTGAACCTATGAGGAAGACACCTTTGAGCGACATCTAGTGCAAAGGACACTCCAAGGGTAACCTGCCTACTAGAGGTCTTGCTCAATTAGAGTAATGAACCAGGGCTGTACCACATGCAGGACGATTAAAGTCGCTCCATCCTCCATTGCTGGTATCGTCCTTGGAGTCATAAAAACAAGGGCACTGCAAAATTACCGATCGCAAAATCCTCGTCACACCAATGCAGTAAAAAACTAAAACGTGGGCAACAGTTAACGTCCTGACGTGGTGGGGAGGATTTTCGATGAATACAACCCCACTCCCGAGGATCCTCCACCGCTACGAGCACCCCTACCCATCCCGCCTACCACCTTGCCAGGATTACGCAGCTCCTTACCTTTTCCGAAATTTCCCAAAGTTCACGTCGATCGGGCGGATGGCAATATATAGCACTAATGATACAGGAAAACCTCGAAAAGTTGACGATCGGAAAAAATTCTCGTGACGCAGCAAATACGAGCCTCCTCACTGAAATTCTCGGAGCAATGTAGATAGCAGAAACCATCTGTCAAAAATTTTATTCTCCGTATACGGTCCCCCTCCCTTGAGCGATCAAACATGACCCCATCCCCGCTGGAGACCTCTCCAGTATCACGTGGCCCGCGGTAAGGCATAGTTATTAGGTTGACCGGAAAGTTTCCCGCCACGTGTTTGATCGCACCATATTAGCCCTTGCATGATATGTTTATGACTTATCTGGGTGTGCATGAAGCACGCAAGAGACTCTTTCACACCACTACCTCACACTAGTTGCATTTGGATTCCAAAATGCCGCCCAAGTTTCAACCCGACAGGATGCAAATGAGGCACTGTCTTCTTTTCCTTCATCAGTTTGGCTTAAACGCAAAGGAAGCCCAAGCCAAGATAGCGGATACATATGGCGCTGACGCTATCTCTTACGGCACGTGCAAGACCTGGATGGCCAAGTTCAAGAAAGGAGATTTTTCTCTCCAAGATGCTCCAAGGTCCGGCCGGCCGATGGAGTTAGAATTGAAGTTGCTGCAATCCACCGTGGAAGAGGATCCGTACGCCACTACCAGGGAACTTGCAGCGATGCTCGGCCATGCCCAATCAACTGTTTAATCTGGGCTGGAGAAGATTGGTAAAGTCGCAAAGCTTGGCCGTTGGATTCCTCACCCATTCAATGGCGGGAATTTTTCCGGTCAACCTAATATTACACTAGGACTGAAGTCATACTGATTCGGGTACAGCAAGAGCGCTCACCTTCATGAGAAACGTGCTGTAGAGCTGCATAACGCCAACAATAGCATGACTCTGGCAGAGATCGAAAAGTCAGTTGTCTTTGCTTCCCACCAACGAGACTGGGGTTAAATAGGCAGATCAGCCGCTGAACTGGACTTATCATGCTTCTTTTCATTGCAACAGATCACAAGATTTGCCCGGCGAATCGTTCATCGAAAGTTCTTATCTTCAATCACAGTCCGTATGGTCATTCATCATCAACATAGAGCCTGCTTGCGACCAGTGGCACCTTAAAGTGGGCTCAGTGGCAGAGGCGGGCGGTTGCTGCCAACGTCATTGGTGGAAGGGCTGAGTGGGTGACCAAATGCCCTCTCGCAGCCTTCCACCAATGACGTTGGCAGCAACCGTCCGCTCCCAGCCATCGTGCCCACCGCCACTGAATAAATGCAGTGGTTTGCATGTCGACTAGGACATCCACGTGAATAGAGTGAAATGGGTTTGCG